AGCTTCTACCTTCTCAGCTGGATATATGTGCTGCTTCATGAACTGCTTGACCTTCAGCAAAATTTCTTGGCCTTTCCTACTTTGATGGAACAACTCTCCAGACATGCTGTGATGTGTGCTGCTGAAAGATGACCTAAAGAACATTCAATGCAATAAGAAGTAATAATATAAACTGCTTTATACAGACATTTAAATAAGTTAAGACATTGCAAAAGCTTTGCCTTGACTTTGATCAGCAGTTTAGACCGCTCTTACCTTTTTGAGAGCTCTAACCCTCTCTCTGCCAAAGGCTTCACGATCTTAGCAAATTCATGACTATTCTCTGCAGAAGCATTTCCAATGAGGTATCTAGCATATACACCCTAAAACCAAAAGAAAGGCATATATGGTATAATTATGCATTTAAAATTGTCTCCTTTTTTAGACTGGTGACTCCTTCAACTATGAAGGTAACACTTGAATGCACGTATTCTTCATAGGAGAAAATCAGCACCCAGAAAGATTTTACTGGGATATGTTAATATTGGGTTTGGTCCATTTCTGATATAATGGAGATGCTTGACACACAAGAGAAAAACAACATACCCCAGCTAAATTAAACTAAACAAAAAAATTACAAAAATTAGTAGACAGAAAAAGAAAATGAAAAAAGAATATGTCTGCACATATTACTGCAAGCAAGCCCAGCCTGACCCTTAAGCCAACTGAAAACAGTATACACATATGATTATTATCCACAACTACTTAACTACTCGGATATACAACTCATACTCCAAATTAATATCATGTAGTTTATCCCACATTTGGTATGTTGAGCTCATGTTGCAACTCATAAAAATGCCTTACAATGGCTGTATATCTAATTAAACAGTTACTTCTGTTAACAATAATCAATGAAACTTATTTTCTCCTATAATCACATCTCAGTACTGGCCTCCTATGCTCATAATAAGCTGAGTTAAGAACACACCCTTTTTCATCCGTGGGTGGCACCAACAGGATCTTACTTATCTATCCTATCTACTTTCATGGCAGCTGCAGAAACTTAGGAAGACCTTTGTTTCTCTGTCATACAGGATTTAAATTAGCCAGAGTCCAAAAAGATAATGACAAAATTGCAAGCATACTGGGACATCAATAAGAAAAAATCCACATATCCACATTTTCTCCTTTTCAGCCTACTTTCCTAAGAAGTTAGCTACATCTAACACAATGTACTTTATGTAGCAAAAGTTCTATCCTAGAGAGTTATCAGTCATAAGCATCTAAGATATGGCTTCTAAAGGAAAAAAACTGAAATATAATGCTTACAATTCTTTTTAAGTATGATTCATATTTTGAACATGTATTACCAAGCTACAAATACTCATAATAAAGATATGTGGCATTTCAGCAAATGTGAGTGTATTACCTGGGATATTGCTGCCATTTTGAAATATGACAAAGCAAGAAAAAAATTAAAGTTGGATAAAGTAGTGCTAATACCCCGGCAGCGGCAGTAAATGGAAACCAGTTCTTCAAATGAAGGAGTTTCTACAAAAAAACAACAGAATATTTGAGAATAGTCAACATTTTCTATGATTTTTTCCACCGTATTCTTCAAACATTTGCACAACTATTCAGCTTTATGAGATATTCCATTTACATAGTAAAAACCCATGATTTATCATTTCTCATGACCTTAATGTGATTTGGAGAACCAAAAGGAAATAGGAGATGTTAGAATTCCAGATAAGCATAATACTTCCTACCGCTTCCTGCCTCCATTCCGTTCAGGAAATTAATTGCATCATGGAGGGTTTTTGCCTTTTTTTTGCCTTTTTTTTTTAAATAAATGACAAATGTACCTTTAAATTTTAGTTTTCTTCCATTATCTCTAAGAAAGGTTCAAAATAACTTTTACAGAAGCAGCATACTGTGGCTAAGCCACAGCTTATTAAAACAGGACTACCTTAAACCTCACTATCAGCACGTTTCCTACAATGAAGAAAACCATGGAAAAGTTCTTTTCAATTACAAAATGATGTGCTTGTTAATTTAACTTTTTATTATTGCTTACAAAGGTAACATATCAAATAGAAATGAACCCCGGAATTCATTTCAACAGAAATATTACCGTTCCATACCTATGGTGTCTTTGAAACCCAAGACAGTTCCTTGACCTAAGTCCTTAACAGATGTAGGCCAAAAGTAGAATAGAGTGGCATAGGCTAAATCTGCTAAAGGATGCCCAGTAGTTGAAAGTTCCCAGTCCAGCACTGCCAAAACACGAGCCTTAAACAAAAATAAAAACCTCAAGTGAATGCTAGAAGATAAATTCTCTCCATCCACACGCACACAACCCACTTAACATTCAACAACTTTATTTGGTTACTATATGTTTAAAATTAAAAGCAGGCACAGTACCTGTCTACAGCAAAACCAGTTCCTTTTAGTACCATGTAAAGATCTGCAGAAAATTAACATTCACATAGTGGCAAAACCCAGGCATTTTTCCAATAAAAATCTGTTTTAAATTCTACATTTTTGAGTAGTGCTCTTCCTGTCAGAAACTTCTAAACTCTTCTAGTCAAAATATCATTGAATTAAAATATCCTAACAAACACTAGTATTGACAGTTAGGTTTTTTTGTTTTCAGTCCTATTGACCAGATACTGTTGCACAGTCCTTTTGCAGAAATACTCATAGACAGACCATGCCCTAAAGAACCTAATTTACCACAATATTATGCATAGATTAACACTGACATGGAGAATTTATCACTGCCCAGATAGTGACATAAGCCTCTGCTGCAAGCATCCTTGCAATAGTGTCCTCAGCTGGATAGGCTGAGACTCCCCACACTGTCATTCTAATGAATTCTTATAATCCAGCTGTCCTGTCATCCTGAACGACCCCTCCAGCCTACTCATGATCCATGGATACTTGAATTATGCACAAAAGACTTTCCTACGTGGTCACTCCTGCATATACAGGAATAGTTTCCAGAGATTATTTAAAAATACCTATGTACAGTTTGGTCAATTCTTTCAACTACATCAGGAACAGCTGGGAGAGTCCCCGAGACTGCCAGATTCTCTGCTCAGGGAGTCAATCGGCACATTTAAACCTACAAACAGTGTCTATCAACTGATCTATGTACAGCAATGGGAATCTCTGGGAGCTGTTGCTTTGTTGTGAAGCAGGCATCGCAGAATCTTGGCCACAAATCCCAGGCATATCTTCTGGTCACAAGAAAGCAAATAGTGTGGACAAAAATAATGAAAATGCAATTGTGTTAACAGATAGGCAACACACATTTATTTCCACAAACTAGAAAAAAACCCTTCCTTTTCCCTAAAGACGAGCGAGGAACTTTCAGGGTCTCTGTGATCTATGTGCACTCCATAACTAAGCAGCTTTAGCAGATTTTTCTCTGCTTCCACTAGTATCCCATATCATGCATTCAGATCCTGTTCCTAAAGCCACTGTTGTTAATTGAAGCCATACCACAGATGTCAATGGGCTTTGGATCAGATGCTTATGCAGTTTAATGAAGTGACCCTCCAGTATGTCCTTAAGTTGCACTGAATTCAATAGGATTTACGCATATAAAATGTTTTGTTCCTGGACTTTGAAATAGGGACTAGAGCTAATGAATAAATTGAGTAACTAGCTCCTGCAATGAAAACCAGGACTGTATTAGGTACCTAAACAGCATACACAGAGTACAGAGAAGAGTTAAGTACTCTACTGTTCCTTTCAAAGATGTATCATGCACTAAAACACCCACGTTAAGTGTCCCATTACATGGTAGGAGTACAGACAAATAGAGGACCAAAAACTACTAAAGACATACAAATATATTTCAAATACCTCTGTTGGGTGGAAGATGATGTTATCTATTCTAAAGTCCCCATGAATCAGGCTTTCTTCATTATCATCAGGTGGCAAGTTGTTTGCTAACCACTCAGCCAGCTTGAGCAGCTGCGTCATACTGTCTTTTCCAAGTTGATACCTAAAGAAATACAAACACTTCAACAGATTTTCCAACTGATTCACAAGTTTTTCAAAAGCACTGAATTCTGGGCTTTCACTATTACCACATTACCTGTAAATTCAGTAAAACCCGATATCTTTGCATTTGCAAATGTGAACTCTGAGATCAACAGATGCGATGAAGACTACCTCTATTTTCTATTTCAGTTCTATTTACATAGTCCAAATCTAACATTATTCCAAAAGAGCATGAATATCATTCCCTGAATATAGCATTACAGAATTGATCTGAATGTAGCAGTAACTTTATATTGTGCACAAATAATTGAAATGTGAACATGTTTAATAGCTAAATTATGATGGTTACTTTTACAAGTCATTAACAATTAGCAATTTAGCTTGCAAATCAAATAAATCTTCAATGACCTAACCAAACGAGAATTTTTTGAAGAGCTGTACCTGTCTTCTGCAGTATCCCGGTCCTCTACCATATCCTTGGAGACCCAATGACTGTAAATCAAAGGAATGCAACGAGGCCAAAGTTTCCACCATTGCAATATACAAAGCAGAACGCTCTGCTGGGCCCACTTCAGGCAGTGAGAGGTCTCGGAAGATGCGACCCTAAAACATCATAAATCAGATATTTGGTGGTATGTATGCATCAGATGAAAAGAAATGAAGCTATACGTTTCAGGAGCAAAAACAAATGCAGTGAACCAACACTCCCTATGCAATCAAAAATGCCTTCCTCATTTATTTTATTCCTTACCCAGGACGGATGAAGGGATTCACAGTAATCTCAGATCATTAGTATACAGGATATCTATTGGAAGGCAATTAAAATAACAGATATATTCGGTAGACGAAAGTCTGAATTAGAACACTCAATCCAGATATCCTCAAGCTTGAAAGTACCAGGAAAAAAAAACCAACAAACCCAAACATGTTACTGTATTGTCTCTAACTTCCAGAAAAACTATCAATGAAAATCCTGGGTGGGAAGTGGGGTGGGGGCAGGCAGGGAGAGGAGAGGAATGGGTGGGTGGTATGTACAAAGAGGCAAAGAATCCAAAGAAATTCAGTTGCATTGTCCTTACAAGCAGTTTAATAGGTGTAGAAGACGGGTGTGTTTTTCCACTTTCTCCTTTAATTTTGACCCTGCCAGTAACAGATTGGAAAAGAAAAACCAGACTCTTCTCAAAGTTCCTCAGTTTCACTGGTTCGCATGATGGCTTCAATATATTTACACAGCTCTTTTTGCTGAAAGATTCTGCATAACATATCTAGAGATTAGATTTTGTGTTGTGTAATAGTTTGATCAACACAATCAATGTATGATTTTTTTCTAAATACACAATGCAATGTATTTGTTAAAAACAGTGCACTGCTGTCCATCTTAGAATGGACAGACCATAAATTTACATCCTTAGAAATGTAAATATAACAGTAGCAAGGTTTCTCATTAAGGAACCACCTTGTTCTAGTCAAAACCAGACAAATTCTCCATCTTTAATGTAAGAAAATTGTTTCAAATTCTTCATAGCTTTGACATTTTATTACTTTTGATTCATGATTTTAGCAGGAAGGTTAACTTAATTTCCAGGAATTGGCCTTACATTTCTAATTTCCTAGTGAACCTAATGATAGAGTAGGATGTGATGAAAGGGAAGAGGCCTGAATTCAAATCCTCCTCCCACAGGAAAAAAAGGACATGATACAGTCGACTTACACTCAGAATCACCAAAATCTAATGGAAACAGTATCAACTCAGCTACAGCACCTCCAGAGTGATGGACCACAGAGAGAGCTATGCCATGTTCTCTCTGAAAGTAGTGCTTGAACTGGAATCCTGCTTGCTTTTCAATAAAATGTGACTGTATGTAGATTACTATCTTCAGTACTAAACAGGTCCCAGGATGTCCAAGCATCCAGTATAACTTTATAGCCCGATTTTTCTCCTTCTGACTTACGTATATGCTTTGCACAGAAACAATATTGACTTATTTCAAGACATCCTTCTGAGAGCTCTAATGAGAACAAGAAATTAAATACCGAGTTGAAAATTTTGACAAAATGGGAGAAGTCCTGGAGAGGCTGAAATTAGTCAGAATCTCCAATAACTAGCATTTCTTAAAAACATCAGGGGATTATTTATATCACAAAACTTACTAAATGCTGAATAACGGTCTAACAGAAAGTTTTTAAACAATTTAAAAGCAGCTTGCAGTAGGGAGAAGAAAGAACCTCTCACATTGAAGGACCAACCTGCACATGCTGCATTACATAAAATTCTGTTCCAATGATAGAAACATCACTGCAATACAACAGGGGCTCGGGCACTGGAAATCCAGCTGAATGTAAGGCTTTCTGCACACGATATTCTCTGTCAACCTGAAGAACACACAGAAACTTAGGTTCAATGAAAAGCTCCCAAGCATAAATGAGTACAGTGAATGACAATGTACCCTCTTAAATGTTCAGTTATGTGTATAGCACAGAAAATCACAAATGATCCCACAATTCACTGCATTTCTGGACACATTTAGCAATGTGCCGCATCATGTATAGGACTTAGCCACCTGCAATACAAAGTGTTTGGAGCTTGATGAAAGATGTTACTTACCTTGTGAGCTCTAGGCAAAAGAGGGCCATGGGGCTTCTTCCTGAGCACATAAGCCTGCCCACCCTTCTGAAGATAAAAGGTTGGATTTGACTGGCCTGAGCTACAAAGAGAAAGATTGTAATTACTTATGAATTCAAGCACTTACAAATTTGCAAACTCTAAACAGAAATGATACAAAATGTACTGTGACTTGGCCTGAACAAAATGGCAAGATAGAGGAAAGGGTTATTCTCAAAAGTTGGGTTGGTTTGTTTGTTTTTTGGTTTGTTTTTTTTTTTTTAATATACTCTTACAAGAATGCAAGTAATATAGCCTACAAAATCGGAAGTCAGAGGTTCTATTCCTACTTATAAGAAAGATGTCTCCTTTCACTGTGGAGAGGTCACAGATACTCAACTTGTTTTCCTGTGAGATGGAGATAGCATTTACCTGTCCTCCCTAAAGAGACATCATTAATGTTTTCAAGGTATGCAGTAGATACTAACTTTAAAGCTTTCCAATTTGGAGGAAATTAAACAGACCAGAATTCACACTAGCCCATGCTTGTATTTGTCCTTTGGTGAGCTGTATTTTGAACGATGTAAGTGTAGAGAAAGGTCTCCAAATAACTGATGAATTCTACAACCAAGCCCCACTGTATGCTAGCCTGATCATCACATACACATGCTATGCTTAAGGGACTGCCTATAATAAAACAATAAAGCTTTAAAGAATGAATGTAACAGTAAAAAAGAATCCTAGAAATTAGACAATACACATGTGTAAAAGAGAAGGATGACCTAGTTAAACCCTTCATAACACCTTGCCCATCATATCTCAAGCAAGCTCATTGATCCTTATTTTCCCTAAGGCCCTGTACTAAATTACATGCCTTCCTCTCCTCATTCTGGATCATTTTTAAATCACATTCTGACCTAGTCAATTGAAAGATTAGACTTTTGATCCAAAAATCAAAATCAAGGGAACTTTTGCCCTCATGCTCCCTGTAACATTTCCATTCTCCCTAAGGCAGTTAAAGCATAGTCTGTAATATAGTTTAACAAGTGTACTGCACAGACAAATACTCTGCCTGGCACAACAGAGATTTAGATGATTGGTTGAAGCCTTGAAGCTCAACCACAAAACAAAGAAAGTAGTAAAAGCATAAATACCAGCAATGTTTTAGCAGATTTTACTATTAGCTACTCTCCTGAGGCCCCTCCTAAAGTCTCCTTAACTAAAGTACATACAAGGACTAGCGTACAGTTGAGGATTCAATGGATGTTTTATATTTGCATCAGAAGACAATGAAAAGTTGTTTACTGTTTTCAGTGATAGCTGCAGATAAAGCAGTCGAGGTCATGTTTACAAAGGAGTTAATACGTATTTGTAGAATAACTTAACTTCTAATAGTTAGCTCCCAATTTGAAGTCACACAGCCACAACAATAATTTGTTGAATGCAAAAGAACTACCTGTTCTGTGCAACTGGCTTTGGAGCCTGGGTGTAGCACCTCACTGGCGCAACACGCTGCTCTCAGGGCGTTAATGGGAATCTCAGCACAGCATTACGCTCTTCTCATGGACTTACGTGTCGATAGCCTAAGGCTTTTTAAATAGATTTCTTAAGCCATGTATGTGTTTCTGAACATTACTATTCACCATGCAATTAAACAGCAATCAGATAAACTGAGATTTATGAGTAGGCAATGAAACAGTTGTGCACGTACTCCAACAGAGTGCACCATGGAGGGCAAAACGCATGTTTTTTCTGAGGAAACCGATAAGTCCACCTAACAAACCGCCTGCCTGTGGAGGTCCACAGGGTCCACTTGTGCCAAAGGTCACCTTCTCCAGCACCGTGAACTCTGACTTCTCCAGCCATTCAAGGCACGAGCCGTTCCCTTGATGGCCACTGTCCGCCATCACCAGGGCGAAGGGCCCTAACTCCGGCTACCTCTCCCGC